GCAACACTTTTCTATTATGTCAGTTTGTCATCACATCTCTTGCACCACTTTTCTCTTGTGTTGGTCTTTCTGATAGTTACATATGCAAATTATAAGGATGGATGATATGTGTTTTGAGACAACCTGAAGGAAAATAGAACTTCTTAAAGTTTAAAAAGAATTTTTTTCTGTATCAACAGTAAAAACAAGAAACACAAAGATCAAGAAGCCAACAGTTTATGTGTGTGTGTATTTAAATATATAAATATGTACATATTTCATGATCCTCGAGGTTAACCACAAGAGGGAGTACAGGGCTTGAGTTTTTATCTGTAGATGTTTATTGCGCATTAATTACTCCAAGCTACCTCAAAAACACAAAAGTTAGATTTTTGGTTTGGTGTTTGTCTTTTTCTTTTTTTTTTTTTTTTCCTGACAAAATTTGCAGAAACAAATTACGCAGCCAAGCAGTATTCTGCAGTATTACTCTTAAATATTACAGAAGCTATTTATCCTTTGGTCAAAACATTGGAGTGGATATATATAAATAATCTGAACATGTTGCAATGCACGTACTATTTTCAGAAAGAAAAATACAAGTAAACATAGGCAGTTTCTCTAGTAAGCATCACAACTGTTTTTACAAGTATGATTGCTGCCTGTTTAAAGCCCTATATTTTTGTGCTCTAGGATAAAATAGCCCCAATACAGTTATAAAAACCTGCTTACTTAACTGAGAACATAACTCTGAAAGCACAGTTCTGCTCTTGCATATCAATATTTTGATAAAGCTGTGTCTGCTTTAATGCTGTCTGTGCGTGCCTCACATACTAAAGCCCATAGATTTTTTTTAATTAAAATACCATGTCTTGATAAATTTTAAAATTTTCAAACTGTACTGTAAGAATCATCTCCCTCTTTTTATAATACAGGAAAGCAGTGTTGCTTTAATATGAACATTTGGCATAGTTCTAGAACTTCTAATCATACTACATAGTTTGTCTAATAATTTCCAAACAACAAAGATATTAGCTTGAACATAAAGGCTTGGAGGATTATTAAAATAAAAAGAAGACAGTAGGAACATCCCAAACCATTGACAACTTCCTATACAATAGGAAGCTATTAGGAGGATTTCCAAATGGAAGTACTAATTCTTACATCTTAAGAAGCATCTGTTAAAACTGTCTCAAAATGACAAGTTCCAAAATAACAATAAAACGATTTATTTTATTGCACTATAAAATTACTGTATAATATGATGACAGAATTTTATATAGCTTCCTGTAAATTAATGAAATGTTTAAATTTCGTAGTCTTAACTTGGATCTTGCAGGAACAGCTCTGTTAAGTTTTCCATTATGACTGAAAGAAGGCAAAGAAAAGATTTTGTTTTCTTTATAAACAAAGAATTTTTTCCATTTGGCCTAATGGATGGGAATCTGTAGCAGATTAGGAAACCTGTAGGATGGTGTATGGGAACTGCTGAGTCATGGCCTGAACCTCTGATCACCTGAGGCTAGCAAAGAGTCAGCCACATGAGCACAGGTGAAGGCAATTCACCTGCGCTGCTGGGAGGGGTGGAGCCTGGCTGCATCTCTCCTAGACCCATTTAAGAGCTGGATACCAGTGGGAAAAGACCTCTTCTGGAGATCCCTCCTCTGGAGTTTTGTAGCTAGCCCAGGACGTGGGTAAGTGTTCTATCTATTCTCTATTTGTTATTATAATCTACTTAGCTAAACTCTCTGGTTTATTTCATAATCGTAACATCTTTATATTTATTGACTATACAGATGTGAGCAGCATTTTTTATGCCTTTATTAACTCAGGCTATTTCCTACATCTGCTGAGCTGCCATAATGCAGGAGAGTCTTACCATGAGGAATACTTTCCTCTATGAAATTCACGTTACTTGTAAATACTGATGCTAAAGTTTATTTTGGTTTGTTGATAGCATCTCACCAATTTGTTTAACAAAAAAAAATTGAAAAGTTCCGGAAATCGAATGATAACTTTAAAAATACATTTACATATGTTAATATGTTTATATCTGTCTTTGGGGCTTAAAACTGAAGATATCTAAGATAAGATAATATCAAAAACTTAATAAACATCTAAAAATAATGAACCACAATGACATAAGTTATATACGAGGTTATATAACGTTTACGACTATAATTAGCAGAATACAGTGATACTACCTCAGCATGAGAAGGAGACTGTGCAGATAATGATAAATGTAGTAGCTCAAGAGGCCAGAAGGGAGAACTTTCCCCACACAGGATCAACTCCGCTCTGTGCACCGTGTCATGAGAAAATAAATTCTGGTTCATTCAATGCTCCATGAACTCAGTGCACCTCAAATATAAAGGGACGAACTCACTGCCTACATTCCTCTCCTTATTCTATCTTATTTAAGCAGTTATCTTATTATGCTATTTGTTGTCAGGTCTTTCTTACTGAGATGCAGAAAGAACTCTGCACCTCCTCTTTCTCACCTTGCCTTGGCCCAATCCAGAATGAGTTAAAACTGAGACATGAGATTAATAGTTCAAGCATGAATGAAATAGAACTTTCGAAATTAATGGACAACTGTAATAATATAATTCATAATAAAACATTTGTTGAATACTAAAGTGTTTCATTTAAAAGTAAAGTCTGAAACAGGACAGCAGTAGTCTGAATTGATTTAATTTGCCCTACAGAGGATGTAGATAAATCACTTCAGAAAGCATTCATTGACGTCTTCCTAACCTATTTGTTTTGAGATCATTCAAACATAATGTCATATACATACAGACATAATTACATACGTGTAATGTGAATGGACGTTATTTTACACATTTAAAATGCAATATTTTTAAATTGTAATGAGCATAATCTTTGAGAAACTGATTGAGAGTGGCTGTCTGCTATCTCTCCATTAATAAACAAAGGGGAAGGGCTGACACTTCAATCTAGAGTTTATAGGCAAGGAACAGGTTAATTTGCATCAAAAAGGAGATTAGTGGAAATTATCAATTTCACTTGTACATAGAAAACTGTGTCTTGAGCCTTTATGATTTTGTGTGGTGCTGGGTGTTTTTTTCTGTTGAGTAACAGTATGAGAGATTGTCATATTTGCTGTTTCAGCTTTACTTGTCAGTAGTTTAGTAACTCTGTAGGCCCTTGGAGGCAGGTGAAGAAATAGAAGAATAGAAATCATTTGAAGTTGTTGTTTAATATGGTAATTTAGAGTAAGTGAAAATATCTTATACCGACTCCATGAACCATGACAGTTCTGCATGTTACTAATATGTAATATCATCATTGGTAATTGAATAATTTAATTGGTTAATAGCTTAAAATCTTTTCTGTTTTGTGGAATTCTCTGAAATTAATACGTAGTTAAAAAAAAAAAAACACTTTCATCTTTCTGAAGTAGAAGCTAGGAATGGATTCTCAGAGGATTCAATACAAACTAACCAGTTTTGTTTGCTTGTTGTAGTTTTTTGAGTTAACCTAAAGCATAGTAAGTTGTATTTCTGTATCAAAGGTGATTTTTAAAGCTTTTTGACTCACAAATGGGGAAACACTTCTGCTGGCTGACAGGTCAAATTAACTGCTGTCCGTTCTCCTTGTGAAGCAGTTCCTCAGCTACTGACTCACAGACCCTTATTTTAAGATAAGCCAGCATTAATTTGTCTTCACATGCATGAGTGTCACCTGCCATAATTTGGACAGTTAAAAGTGGCAAATTTTTAAATTTTTTGTATGATTTAGTCTATGATTTACAATTCAACAATCTCAGCATTTACATTTGTTTTATTATTTAGTGTTAGGAAAATTTCAAGTTCTTAATAAATAATACAAACCAGTTAGGAAGAACTTATACCAATGGATTATAACTGAAGATAAATTGATTTGATTCAGTATCATAGAGCTACGCAAATCAGACTGCGTAATGGGAAACCTGTTAGAAGACAAAGCCTCTTGCAAAATCTTGGAGCAAAAGAGCTTCAGAAAAACTCCTAATTTGAACAGTCCTGCAAATCATTTATCATAGAAACAAGAGATGGCAGTCAGAATTCAAATACTCATTCATCACCTATATTCTACAATAGTTTCATGCCTTTCATATACTTGAAAACAATTTTAATTTTCATTTCCTTGTATAAGCATGGAATGGAATTATTGATATTAAACAAAACTTTTACATTCTAATAAGTCAATTGAACTGAAGCTGCATCTGAATAAACATCTGAATAAACTTCAGCAACAGTGTCACAGAACTTAAAAAAAAAAAAATAAATAAATAATCCAGCTTTCTACAACAAAAACAAGTTACGCTTGCAAACTAAGGAATACTGCTTATTAGGCATTAGGGTATTTCAAAAGGTAATTTTTATGGACTACATGTAAAATCATAATAACTAAACATTTAGAAAACTTTTTTTCCTGTTAAACTAAATTTACTGGGGTTTAAAACTCATATTTGTTTATGCACCTACTAGAAACATGATTGCATTAGATCTTGTTTATGAGCTTCACATGTTCAGTATGTTCTTCTTGTAAACATAGAATATTGTTACAGTGCAACTCATGAAAATGTTTGTGTTGTAAAGACTTAGCTCTTTCCAAAAATACAAGCTTGCTATATATAGTGAATATTGTACATTTAAATTAGACTGAATCCAAAGTTTACATGGCTCCAAGGAAGAGTAAGAAGCAAAAAGAAAGCATCTTTTCAGTGGAAGAACATAAATAGACATGAATAGTTGGGATGCATATCTACATATGTAGAAGTAATGACATAGAAGAGCATGCAGTCTATATTCACCCATTTGTCAGAATCTATTTCCAAAAAAAAATTGAGATTTTTTTTTTTTTAATGAAAGCCTTGTCTCATCTTGAATTGCAGATGAATTTAGAATTCCAGAACTAATCATGCAATCTTTAGATACAATGGGCAATTCAAAATTTTTTGTCATTCAACTCTACCTTAAAAATCAATACTGTTTTCATGCCCTGGTTTTCAAATATTATCAATGACTCTGTTGGGAAAATATTTTAACTTTTATTACACAAATATCATCACTGTGTTTATACCTTTCATTAAAATGATAAATAATATAACCATTAACACAGAGCTTCCTAGGCAGAATTACCTACCTCTGAAGCAAACTACATCAATCCCATCTTTGCAAGAATGTAGATAACAAGAATAACAAGAACATTCCAAAACAATCTGCATACCTACTAAACTAACTAATCTTTTGTTTCCTTCTCTAAAATAATATAATTCTTCAATATTTTTCTTGTCTATTGTACATAGTTGGGAGAATATCAGCACAGGTTGCTAATATTTATAAAGCTACAGAAAAACAGCATTTGGCTTTTTATTGTTCTTAAAAGCCTGATGATCCACGGTGGAATTTAAAGCAGTGATATTAAACAACTTCCTGTTAAAGTAAAATAAGCAATAAGGTTTTAAAAAAATATTGCTATGAAAAATGTGCTTTCAAAGAAACCCGAGTAAATTATATTCTTCTGTACTTTGCTTACCACCAGTACAACCCTAAAACGTCTTAAATACATAGAATTCTCATTAAAAAAATGAAATACGTATCAGGTAATAAACACTTAATATATTTTAAAGTCTCTGTAACTGCTATCTACTTTGCCATTTGCAAGAATATGTCCAAGCAACTAAAATATAACTGATCATGTAGTTACACTTTACGCAATTTCTCGTTTTAGTTCAGGCCATTACAATTTATTTCTAAAAGTTTAACCCCTGAATATCTTAAAAATAAACAAATGTCTTATTAACTGAATAATTTTACACGATCTTAAATATAAATGATGAAGGTGTATATTTATTGCAGAACACATACTTTTTGACAACTGAGGTACTGAAATTGTAATAGCCATATATTAGGTCACACTGAAAACAATACCTCCTATTTATTTCCAGGGAAGCTAAAAACAATACAAAGAGCAGAATAGCACTATTTGATAGATCAGCTTCTCAGCTGCAAAATAATTTTTCAATGTAGTCATCACTGTTGTCTATGCATTTTTACTGGCAATGAATAAGAGCCTGCATGCCATGCTCATAAAATTTAGCACGTGATGGAGATGACCCACTTTCATAGCTGCTATGATGACAGTGTTGCTAGGAAAATGTTGTCCATTCAGCCTATTCTTCATCAGCCCAAACAGATAGAAGTGAGAAAGTACCAAACCTGGACTATACAGTGGTTGTGGTAGGACAGCCTAGCCAATACTAGCCATGTGCTCATGGTATTCAGATTCGCTTGCAGCCTGGCATTGTTGTGTTGCAAGATAAAGGTTTTCTTTTTCTCTGGCCTGATTTTAAAAGTTTGAATCTTCAGCTTAGTCAGAATCATGATGCAGCTGTCAGAGTTGATGGTTTGTCTGACTTCCAGGAAATCAAAGAGGGTAACCCTTCTTACATCCCAAAAGATAGCATGCATCATTTATTTTAACAGTTGAGGACTGTGTATCAAACTTTTTATTCAATGGATAATTTGGGTATTACCACTCCATGGACTGTTGTTTTGACTCTAGCTCATAGAGGTGACACAGTGTATCGTCGCTGATGATGATACAATCCAGGTATCTGGATACCTGGTAACAGTCACTTTCAGCCTCATTTTGGTTCAATAGGTCCTGATACACATACCTTGTTCTTTCTGTTCCTACGTGAGTGTTCATGGGACCCACTTGGCACAAACTTTGCAATCTTCCAACTTTGCATTGAAGCTGATATTCAACTCCACGTGCAGTTCTCTGGTCAAAACCTGCTGATTTGTGTGGATAAGCTGATTGAGACACTCTTCATTTTGTGGTGTGACAGCTGTGCATGGCCAATCTGGAATGTGGCTTGTCTTTCATGTCACTGGTGCTCACCACCCATAACCTCACTGTGCTTAACATCAATAAGCTTTCAGTGTCAATGAATGCCAATGGGTGTCATTTTTCCTGCACTGAGAAATTCAGTGACACATCTGTTTCATACACACTTCCATGTTGTTTTTTCAGACTACCTTACTGCTGTTTATCTGTCACAAAATGGAATATTAGCCAACATAATAAAACAGGAGGCATGATTTTCAGAACAGCTGTCGTACATTCATGATAAAAAAACAAACAAACAAACAAACAAAAAAACCCAGTATTTTATCAATGTTTCATTAAAAAATGGAGTTCTTCATTGTTTTATATGTGAAGTGAACCTGGGAGACCAATCTGCAGTCCAGTCTCATATGCTGAATTTGTTGGCTTCTTTCTTCTCTCTAGACTACTTTGTCTTACAAAGGCTGATCTTAAAAGATTTTGTAGTTACAGTTCCTGGTTAGCACATGTTGTGTAGAAAGCTTAACGTACATTTTATAGTAATTCTTATAGTAATTCTAGAATTATATGTAGTAATTCCAGAACGTATTTTTGGGGAAAAAATATTAAAAATGAGTTTGTTACAAATGGAATTATCTATTTTGACAGAAAATTCAATTATATTCTGATACTAGTCCTTTGGCAGTTCTTGGTGCACGTTATCAGCAGTGATGAAATTGCTATTTACACATTTCTGCTGTCATGCTGAGTGAGAAGGTTTATGGTTTCCAGACTCACTTTTAACTATTTATCATTTGTTATTTTAAGAGCAACGCAAGCCATAAACTCTTCTTTCAGTAGGAATGCAGACGTAGAGATTTTCAAAAACTTAGGTTTTGAATTTCCTGTTAAGTGCAAGGTCTTTAACCTTGCTGGACTTAATTTCTGTGACCTACATGCCTTTTTTTTTGTAACTATCCTTGTCCAAGTATTAGTAAATGCTAGGATCACATATACGTGGTATCTGACAGTGATTTTTGTTTTGCTTGTCTATTATATGTATTTTTGTCACTTACGGCAAATCTTCTAATCTGGAAGCTTCATGTCTTGGGTCCAACAGATCATAACCACATTCATTGTAGATTTCTAAGTAAGAAACATGAGTTGTATAGACTTTGCTGTTGTCCTAAAAAACAAACAAAAAATAATAAAACAACAAATAAACAGTTGGGCAAAGGAAGAGCTATAAACACAAGTGAAAGCTAGGCCGGAGGAAAGACTTATCACTACAACTTCTAAGTTGTTTTCTCATTTTGTTTCTTTTTCTTCTCCTAGGCATTGTTTATATTCTCAATTAGGGATATTTATATATTTTCTGAGACACCACATGCACGAAATCTAAAGTAGAAAAAGGAAGAAGTTTTAAAAAAATATATGAAAATAGAAGTACCCTGAACTCCAATATGCCCATTAGAAGAAAGTTGTTTGTTTTTTCTTTTTGTATTTAGATAGAAAGATAGAAAACACATCTTTTTCTCTTTTTGCTTTTGCACCCTATGCTTGCAGAAGCACAACTGTTTGCTCATATCACTGCTACAAAGGACAAAATAAAATTTACTTTAAATATAATAAACAATCATTAGAGTTCAGATCTCTTCACTTTATCCACTTATTTCTTTCCATAAAAATGAAGTTGTTTTACAGTATTTGTTTTAATAAGTAAAACACACAAGTACATACTTATAGAAAAAGGGTTTTTAAATCTGGAATGCTGTTGGCTGGTTACTGATGTTCAGAGTTCCCTTGTATTAGACAAAAATAAGACATATTACTTATGCCATCCTTCCAACCTGTAGGCTGAAGGTCAGCTAGAAGACTAAATATAGAATTCTTTCAAACGTGAAATTCAGAATAACTAACTCAAAAATTCACTTTGCTATTCAACTAGGTTTTTTTTTTTTTTTTTTTTTTTCTTCCCAGTTCTGGTAGTATATTAGTTGGGAATTGTCTTTTAGTTATTAGAAAAATTAATATAAATGGATAATAAGAAATATTTTAGGGGAGGTTTAAGACTAGTTTTCTTATTAATAATTTGCATTCATTTGATTTTTGTTTCATTGCTCTTAACTGTTGAGACTTTAGAGTATGCTTGTAGTATTTTAAATATCATTATTACCTTCTGTCAAACATTGTTTGTTGCCCTGTTTTCTGTATATAGAATAAATGAAGAAGTTGTGAAATTAAGTTTCACTTGTTCTGGATTTACGGTGCTGCAGAAATGACTTAAAGCTAAGTTGCGGTCAAGTTACACCTCCCATATTTTCCTTCAGCTAAGTACAATGGCTTTCTCTGCACAGGAGATGCGATGGATTTTTTTTGTTCTAAGAAGAGTACAGGATTTCAAATTCAGTGGGTTGCAGTGGTCTCTAAATTGGCTTAAATAATTTGTAAGTGCAACAATGACACTCTTTTGTAGGAGATTTTGATTTGTGTAATCATAAAACTGTTTTGAGCATACTTAGTTTCCCTCCTAAATTCTTCAGGGCTAGAACTAGAGATGTTGAAATGGAGCATTAATAACATTCATTTTACTTTATGGATTCACCAAAAAGCAAGTTCATAGCTCCTAGATTTGGCTTGATTACCACACTGGAGTTGAGTGTTTTACCTTAACAGCTGTGTCAAATTCAGTAACCTCACAACAGTTTCACAGAGTTGACGGTGGTAGGAAAATCTTCTATGGAGTATTAAAAATAATTAAAAGAAAAGAAATAACTGGGTGAGGACTATAAATGTCAGAAATATTGTAAGACGAGGAAAAAAGTAGCAGAGAATGAAATATAAATATTTCTTGTACTTAGTACTGTTGAAATTTTTTGGTGAAGCCAAACCCATATTTACACAGGTGGAATGACTATTTCTCCACTAGAAATTGACAGTTCTAGCATAAAACACATGCAAAATTAGTTTTCAGAGTATAATTTATTGCTTTTGAAAGTATTTTTCTAGCCACTATTAACTTGTCTTTAGGTTCTGACTCTGTTTTAAAAACAGACCAAAGGATTTTTTGTCTTTTTAATAAGAGTACACTAGGAAAAATGAATAACAGCAATAATAATAATAATAAATATTAATGACATTTTTACTATTTGCATAATTTGTTCATAAGTTATACATATGTAATTATATTAAAAAATGGGCCTAACATATGACCACTTTCAATTCAATTATGCTGAGTGAATCAGACTTTTATTAGTAATATCACCTACACATAAAACTTTCCATATAAGTATGTAATTGGAGTTAAAAAGAAAAGGACAGAAAAGAAGAATACACATACTTATTCTCTTTCAAATCCTGCATTACTGACTTGAAAATTATTACTTTCATAATAACTTAGCTATCTGTCAATATTATAGTTAATAGATAATTGCATCAAATATGAACATGCAATTGTGCTGAGTTAATAGCTGAGTATTTTAAGAAGTGGACTGTTTTTTTGAGTATCAATCAAGCACAAAGAAACTACATAACTTATGATGAGTGAAAAAAATGGTCCTTATTTAATGCAATATTGTTGGTTTATCATTGCATAGGAGTCAAAGCTATTTTTGCAGGATGCACATGTGATGCAATGCATGCAATGGAAAAAAAAAGGGTAAACAGTGAAGACAAGCACAACTGCTTATGTGATCTGAATGTGTATAATAGAATCCACTGAAAAAATAGCATGGTTTAAAAAAATAAAAAAGCAACACCCTTTCACATCCATTGTCTCATTCTAAAGGCAGGTAACCAACAGTAAGCAGCTCATTATTGTGTAATATTTCATGAAAAGTTACATGTTTTCTTAAACATTACTGAATTACTAATTTTAGGGCTTCTTACTGTTGCTTTATGACAGTATTATAAAAACAGTCCTTCAAAATATAGCTAAATATTTTTACACCAGTCATTTAAAAAAGGAAACCAACAAATGCAGAAAACAATCTCCCATACCTTCTGCAATTGATCAAAAATGTAAGAGAGGGTCCTGGGAATGATGCCTCTGTCACTGTAACGTTCAGCTCCTCCTGTGATCGTAAATGTTTTGCCACTGCCTGTTTGGCCGTATGCAAAGATAGTACCATTATATCCTGCCAAAGCACTATAGAAAAAATTAAAAAAAAAATTAATATATAGAGCATATTCTTTATGATAAGCTTTTTATAAAACCAAAATGTGGTTCACAGTAATTCTTAAATACACAGCAGCTGTCTTCAATTCAACCTATTTATTTCAGATTCAATAGAATTTACACAGTCTGAAATGCCATTAAGACATGATCATCTTTTTTCACACCTCACATTTGCTGAAGTATCTAACAAAAGCCTATCCAAAATGTTTCTCTCTGTAAATCATCAGACTCTCAGTATTCATCTGATTTCCATTAAACAGCAGAACAGAAGATAGGCTGTATACTAGTAGGATGAACAGTAGTTCAGCTACACACTCAGCAGGATGTATGTAGGATTAGACTACAGCAGATGTGATTTTCATCAGTCATGGCTGATGAGGTGATATATTTGACATTATGACACAACATATTTGATCCTGACTTTTAGTCCCGATTTTGTTTTAGAAGAGTGGGGTTTTAATGCAAAGAAAGAAAAAGGTACTCCCAAATTGTGGTAATCTAGATTCCACCAATGAGAAGTTGGTGCAATTTGACAGAATAATTCAGCAGTTATTTTCTTTTTAACAGCTAGTGAAGTTTCTTGTCCTGTTTTAAGGAGAGGCTTGTATTTTTACCAAGACACCTTCAATGAGCTGATATCTGAAATATAAATGTAAATTTTCATTTTTCCCTTGATATTAAAAGTAAAACTTTATGTACACTGTATTTAAAATATCAATTGATATTCATAGTTAAGTATTTGTTTCCAGCTCTGTCTCAGAAGGTAAAAATCTGTCTCCACGTTTCTAGATCAATTTCTTGTTGATTGTTGTAAACTGCCTTGACCTTGAAATGTATTTTAAGTGCTCTAACATCCTGTACTGCACTCTGGCTAACTACAAACAGTGAGGTAAAAATGATAGAGGACATAATTACTTTGAATTTTCATTTGTCTGAAAACAAACAAAAATTGAGTAAATAATTTGTAACTCTTTGAAATCTGTTACTGACTGTAATATTCACATGGCCAGCCAAACCAGAAGTGGCAACAGTCTACATGATAAAGAAATCAGATTAAGGAGGGCCAGTTTTTCTCTTTCTTTTCAGTAGCCAACATTGCAAAAAGTTTCCCTCCATTTGAAATTTTTCTACCAAAAATCCATTCTCTCCTGACAAAATATATGAAGAAAGTACAAAGAACATATATGAATAATAAAAAATGCTGACAAGACATAAAATAATCAAGAAGGAATTACTTTAATGATGAAACACATCAGAAGTACAATCTACTCTGGATTTGGTTTACAATGCTTAAAGATCCACTCCTTTTGTATAAGCAGAAAGAAATGATAAATTATTCTTGTGCATTTTGTTTATAAATAAAAAGGGGCAAACAACCCTTGCATAAGATAAAAAGAACCACATATAGATAACTGCTAGTCTGGCGCCACAAGAGATGCAATGGTTCTCCAAATTATTATTTAAAGGCTTGAGCAGATGCCAAATTGCTTATTTTAATCCATTACAGTAGGATGACAGAGAAAAAAACAGAAACATGTTAAAAGGAACTACAACCAACATCTGCTCCCAAAGACCAAAACACCCACAAGACAGAGTGTGTATAGATATATTTTAGATTCCAGATGTTAAAAATCAAAACATTCATTATTAGGAAACACCTCATTCATTTATCTTAGGAATTTGTAATGCCTACCACCACTATATCTGAATGCTGAATACAGTAATCATCTGTCAGAAGGTAAGGGTATCAAAGTAAGTTCGCAGATGGCAGGTTCAAAACAAGCAAGAGGAAATGATTCTTCATGCAAAATGGTGTTAAGCTATGAAATTCCTTGCAGTGGATGTTGTGGATGCTAAAAGATCACACAGGCATCAGCAGAGACTAAATTAATTCTTGAAAATGTTCTCTGATGATGAGAAATTAATTTTCTATCAGAAAGTCCCTGAACTACAACTAACCAGGAGCTAACAGAATACTAGGTGAAGGTAGATTTCCATGTTTGACTTTTTCCTAAGCACTGACTGTTAGTCACCCAATAAAAGAGAAAATTAGAATTGTTGTAACACCGTACCTGTAACTGTGGTGGTTTAGAGATGTAAGAAAAAGCAGCTATTTTAAAGAGCATTTCTATTTTGTGTTGGACTAGATTATGTGATTGCCTGAAAAGAAGACAAGATTCAGGGCTTCAATAAAATATTTTTATATTAAGAGAAGACCTTGTCTCTTCCCTGATTATGTTACTAAGCAAAATCTGTCAGAAAAACTGTATCAGTTATCAGCTACAGCACTTTCTAGAATGAATACATCTACAAATGTAGTTAAAAGGGAGCAAAGACATTTTGTTATTTTCCCTCAAATATTCTTACTTTTCTTACTTACAGTTAACTTACACTTTCTAATTTACTCATAATTAGTGGCAATTAAAAACAAAAAAGTGTAGTAAAAAACTAATATTTCATTAAAAACAGCAATGTAGACTCTTATTTAAGTAAATGACTGCTGCACAGCTGCATACCAACAATTGCTGTTACTCAAGAGACTTACTTCATGGTGGGAAGACACAACATTCCTAAACAAAAGTGTGATACTAAAGTCTAACTCACGCAAGTAATTATGCTTAAATTCATTGATCCATTGTGTTTACAACTTGTTAACATTCCTCAAGTGAGAAATTTCTCAAGTGGAAGCTAGAAAATTTATGATTAGTTGCTATAGTTCAAAATACCATTCAGTACTTTGTTCTTGAGTATCTGAGATGACTCAACGTGGTATAAAACTCAGTGATATTAGACAGAGGTTGAAAGCAGGCTGAGGTTGTTTTGTTGTGGTCTGGATACATTTTGTTTTAATTTACCATGATTTTTTTTTTTCTATTTAAAGTTTATGAACGCAGAACTTTTCATTTGTTTCTATGCTTCTTGTTAATGAGACCGAAGGATAGTTTGTGCCTAAGTATAACAGCTGCTTCCCTCTGCAGCCTGGAGAAGGCTCTAAGGAGACCTTATGTTAGCTTTCCAGTACTTGAAGTGGGACTTTTTATAAGGTCATGTAGCAACAGGATGAGGGGAAATAGTTTTAAACTTCAAGAGGGTAGACTTAGACTAGATATTAGGAAGAAATTCATTACTGTGAGGGTGATGAGACACTGCAACAGGCTGCCCAGAGAGGTTGTGGATGCCCCCTCCATGGAAGCAATCAAAACAAAGCTGGAAGGGACTTTAAGCAACCTGGTCTGTAGCAGGGGGGCTGGAACTAGATGATCTTAAAGATCCCTTGCAGCCCAAACCACTCTATGGTTCTGTGATAAGTTTTGTTCAATCGAACAAAAAGTTTCCATCAAACTATAGTAACTTTAAATATATAAATAAAAATAAATTCTAAAATGAGTTCTGTGTTCAGATTTGGATTTCCCAATCCAAGAAGGATGCTAGAAAGAAATGAGAGTGATTCTAACAAAACCAATTTGGTTCAAGCTAGAGAACATTAATACATGGATAAGCAAAAGGAGTTGTTTTCTGACAGCCTGGAGATGAGGAGGCTATGCATGTGTGTAATTGTCACTTTCTGTTACAGAATGGATTGTTCCAAGAAGGAATGGGATAAAAGGCAGTTGTTGCAAGATGCAAAAGAAGTTCAAAATATGATGAAAGTGTTCTTCACAATGAGAGCAGGTAAGTCCTGGAACTGATGCACAGTGAGTTGTGGGATTCCCATCCTTGGTTTATTTTCAAAGCTTTACTATGCTTGAGCAAACTCTGAAGCTATCCCTGTTTTGTTCAGAAGGTTGGACCTAATGACTTACAGAGACACCTTCCAACCTGTTTATTCTATGATTTTAAGAGAGAATTTTTTAGCAGTAGACATAATTTGCACACACACACACAAAAGATCAACAGAGAAATGTATTTGTAAAAAAAAATCTTTACCATTCCTTGAAAACATGCTAAATGTTTACACGATGTAAACATAGTGTTTTATAAATACCAGTACAGTCGTCTTCCTCAGGAAAGTCAGAACACTCTGACTCCATTTTTGTTACTCTGAGCTTCAATTAATAATGAAAAAGATCTCAAGAAATAGAGTGACCTTATTATCAAGCTTTTGACATCAGCAGATATTAAAGACAAATACAGGAATCTCATCTTGACAGCTGCTGGATGAAGTCAATCCAGAGCCAGAAGCCATTACAGCAAAACTGAATAATGTAAATAAATAAAAAATGTTTAAATGCTTAAATAAAATAGGCTGTACTAAATAAGGCCTAAATTCTTTGAGTCTCTATTTGTAGATTAAAGTAATGGCTGGGAATCAGAAACAAATTTTGGTTTTGCTTTGCTTTCACTAGTTTATTTCAGGTTCATATTGTTATTTTAATTGGAGCCTTGAAGCTTCATTTTAAATGACTAGTAATGTGAAGGTGGGTGTTCTTAGCTATGAAAATACTGGATTACTGAAGTATAAGGCAACTCTTGAGTCACAGCTTGAACCACTGATTGAACACCTGGGGAAAGGACCTGGTCAGCCCTGGGAGCACAGGTGAAGGCAATTCAACTGCATGACAGGAAAGGGTGGAGCCTGGCTGCACCTCTGTTAGATCCCATTTAAGGGCTGACTGCCACTAACGAAGGATCTCTTCTTGGAGATCCCTCCTTGGTGAAGCTTTCCCCTGCAAACCTAAAAACTTCTGATATGGGTGAGCAATCTTCTTCTCCTTCCTTTGTAGCACCTCTCTAGTGTCTCAGTCCTTACATCATTGTTACAACATCTGTTGTAATGCCTTTTCCATTGTATTGATCTGTCCAATTGCTACATGAAGAAAGTGGAAAATATCTTGATCTTTAGATCTTGTAAGCAATCTCCTCATCTCAGTTCTTGCTGACTTGAAATGTTTTACCAAAGTCTTTCTTTTTCCTCTTTGCAATCTTAGAAAACAGTGGCTCACGGTCATTTTATAAGACTAACAAAGAAATACGTAAATAAATCAGTATAGTTTTGGTAAAAACAGTCCCCAGACATAATACTTCTGATGAAAAGAAGAAAACTTAATTTACAGGATCTGGAAAAGCACTTCTTAGGGAGAATGTGTCTTTACACATAGTATTTAGGTATCTTCTCTCATTTGGTGATCAGATTAAAGTTCCTTTTAGTTAAAATAAACAAAGTATCTCAGCATGACGTTTCTTCTTTATGCTTTGGCAGATTTATGGAACAAATCTAATTTGGTAGTGTCTCATATTTCAAAAATAACATTGATGTCCAAATGTGCACGTTATTGTTTCTGAGAGCTTAGTGTAAGTTTCCACTGAAATTTCAAAAAAGTTTTCCTGAAAAGGCAAGCTGAAATATAATTTCCTATTTTGACTGAAATTCTCAAATACGTTTAAAATTTCACCAAAAGCACTGCAGAAGATAAGTATCACAAAAATAGTATGAGTGACATCTATCAAACTGTAACCTATAATAAGCAGTATTCTTGAACAATTCTGAACTTAAATTTAAGTCAAAATGAACGTGACTAATAGCTGTTTGAGATGAAAGCTTAATGAAGTTTTCATTTTTTATTAAATTACAAAATCTATAGCTGTTCCTTCTCCCATTTCTCAAATTAGGGGATATAGTAAACTACACTGTTTCGAGCTGACATCCAAAAAGTAGATGTCTTTTTACTGTATATAAACTCTACAGGTTTTTTTTTTTTTTTTTCTACATAAGTCACTCACATTAGCAATAATTCAGTTGTGAAGAACCTTTACCTGCAGGTGAGTTAAACTGCTATTTCTCACACTTGCATCACAAATGTCCATGTCAGAATAAAAAATTGGTCACATAAGCCTGCCTTTAAATTAGTAAACAATGACAATATTCCACAAATAACAAAGTCTGATGCTTAGACCTTACTAAAAGTCCAGAAAAACAAAAACAGAACTAGCAAAGTAAAAAATAAAAAGATAATATTTTTGTTTATCATTTTTGTGCTGAACTCCAGAAGTCGTCTTCCAATCTTAACCACTCAATGATTCTGTGATTCATGAAACTGTATAGAAAATACTTTTCTAATGCAATGAAGTGAGCTTATATTATAGGTAAAAAGAAAACTATACATGGATTTCTATTTCTATGCAACAAAAAATACTACTGTATCAGTGTAGTTGCATAGTTAACTCCTAAAACTTTACCATAAATAGAATTCTCAGGGGACTGTTTTATATCTCCCAGATTCAGATATGTCAGTATTCAGAAAATCAAAACATCAATACACTTTTACTACGAGACAAACACTTGGCAGCTCTCCTCCAACTAATACAACAAAATCTATTTTTGATCCTAATTACTCTCAAGAACAACGTACCATTCTGCCACTGGTTTGGCAATGCTGTCAAAAACCACATCTTGCTTCACCTCTTGATCAAAAATTTTCTGAAATCTGAAAATATTAAGCGAAGAATAATTGCTCAGAATCTTAAAACACTACTTGATTCATACTTATGTTTATAGTAGTTGATGTTTACATCATTAGGCTTACATAACTTAGTACAATGTTTTCCCTGTAGTCTTATTCACAGCATCTGTTGTACTATTGCATATAAATAGTCTGCTAAACACAGAGCTGCATTGATGGGATCTTCACAATAAATTCCTCTGATAAAATGATGTGGCTTAGAGAAAGATAATCCTCATTTTAGATCTACCGAGAGAATCAGTGTTTGTAACTGGCACCACACTGGAACCTGGATAAATAAGTTACACCATAACTAAATACTGTGTCTTACCAATGTTTTTCTTTTTTTTTTTTTTTTTTTTTTTTTTTTTTTAATTACTTTTTATAAATAACCAGTTCCTTCATTCTGTTGCACACATACAGTAATCGTTAAAGGAAAATGTTTAACTAAATCTTTCCTATGTAAAGCAACTGCAGTTTTCATAGAGAATTATATATCTTTGAAGTTGGAAGGGACCACCTACTACAATTCCCCTACTCAAGGAAGAGTCAATTGAAGTAGGGTTCTGTCCTATCAAGTTGGATTATTTGCATATAGGGAGAATAAACAGCTGCTTCAGACTGTTCTTTCTGTAAAGAGTCCTAGCACTCTGAACCTCTCCTAATATGTCAGACATCCCAGTCCCTTTGCGGGAGCCCAGAACTGGACACTGTTCCAGGTAATTTTCTGAAACCTGGTTTCTAGCCAATCACAATCCTGTACTGGTGCATGTGTTTCTACCTCTCTAGGAGCTGGATTTGACATTTCACAATGTTGAACTTTAAGATTTCTACTGGCTTTTTCTCCAGATTCTCTGAGCAGCAGGACAACCATCTGGTATGTCAACCACCCATTTGCAGATAACACAGAACTGAATATGAATTTGGTCCCATCATCCAGGACACTAATTAAGTTGTTCGATACAACTGGATTCTGTATTAATTACATCACAACAAATGGCCTTGGTGGATTTTGTACTCCTGCTGATAATCTTTTGAGCACAGCAGCTTGGCTCATTTTCAATCCCCCTCATTGAGCACTTACATAACCTTTCCAAACCCCATCCTTCAGTCTTCTTGGGTCACCTGATCCTGCTCTCACCTCAAATACAGTTCTTTTTTAAGGTTGTCTACAGTCAGGAGCTCCTGCTCAACCATCCAGGCCCCTGCTATCACTGCTTAATTTCTTATCAGGGCAGATTGTTCCTGAAGGAGGTAATCCTAGAAAAACAACTAGCTCTCTGGGACTTCCCAACAATCTAGGGCTGTGTCTCGTGGGTTTTTTTTCAAGCAGGTCACTGAACAGGCTAACACTTACTCTCAAGAAGTCTAAGGTTGCGATCTTGCTTTCTTCCTTGTTTTCTATTCTGAGGTTTTTGAATTTTACAATTTCATAGTCATTACAACCAAGGCCACCCAGCTTTCACATCCATGATCAGTCCTCCTATATTTGTAAATAAGAGGTGTAGCAGATCCTCCTCCCCTTATTGTCTCTTTAACTAAGTTTGAGGAAGTTCAGGAATCAATACACTTCCGAAAACTTCTGGATTGTTCATGCCCTGCTGTGCTGTTCCTCCTGTCTGGAATTGCACATTAATGTAGAACTTCATAGGGTATATAGAAAAGCCTTAAACATGTGCAGGGTATACAACATCTGAAAGAAATGCAGTATATAAAATATACACTCTATTCTGCTAACGCTGTATTAGTCAAGTCATTCAAAAAATTGTATTTGACTCCCATACAAGAAAGTAAGAATAAAGGAGACTAATGTTTAAGCTGACCAGGGGACACAGATTTTATGCAGCTGTAAGCTTTATGGAGGAAAAAAAAAATGCTTAATCCACAGTATTACTTTCCTTTTGCTTTGAGGATAGTAAGTCATTGAGTTTCTTAGCATTATTTACTACAGACATTTTAATAAATGATAGAGTAAATCAGAATAAAAGTGTTCATTGGGCATTTGCATTCTAAGCTATTTTCGCATAAAATCAATTTGGAGAAGGCAGTTCCTCACTTTGCAAGCAGAACAGATTTCCTTAGCTGATGTAAAATGACATCAGGCTAAACTGCAGATGTTCATCTGTGGCTCTTTTTTAGTAGCACAGAATAACATAATTTATTTGATTTGGTATTTTAAAAAACCTTGAATACTAAGTGAAGGATGTCTTTTTTTTCCAAAAGTGGTTATACATCCAGAATTCACAAAATTCTTAAAGTTTTCTCTACATATTTTAAAAAGATGAATAATAATTTGATAATATTGGTACTTATTGTAAGTTCCTAAAACTTATTCACGTTCCACTGTGAGATATCTACTGTGATAGTTTCTGGTTCTTTCAGCCATTTTTTAAATTGTTTTGGTTGTGTTGAAAACATTGTTTTTAAACAGTGTTTTACATAAAGGCACTTCGGTTAGTCTATGCCAACTCACTAGGTCACAAGAAAACAACACAGTGCTGCACTCACTTTTCATCAGTGAATTCGAAACAAGCTGTAGGAGTGGAAGACTTATAGATCAAGATGGGAGCGCATAATGGTATGCAATGGATGGGTTAAAACAACAACAACAACAACAAAAAAAAAAAACAAAAAAAAAACAGAAGCAACTTTAGTGTTTATCAGACTCATTCAGCTGCAGAACATGATATGCTGAAGTGTTGCTCTTGTTAAAGGAACTGTATGAATATAAAGCTACCTCTACCAAAACTTAATGTTAGGAATAGGTTTCTCCTCTGTGATTCTACAGATGTGTGTCACTATACAAAGGTGAGACTTTCACTTACTTGAACTTGTAGCTCTCTCGCTTATTGTTGACAAACCCATCTGCTAAATCACGTGGCACGATAATCTCCAGACTGGATGCAGATATTTCATCCTCAACTGAGTAAATCTAATGAACGTGGATATGAGTTAACAAAGTAAGCTTTGTTGCTAAGCAGCACAGCCCTTAGATGCAACATAGTTAGTGAGCATAGCAAAATAACATAGAGCAAAGTAGTACTGCCTAGTTCAAAGCCCTGAACGCTCAAGCACATCTTTCTACAGCTATTGTTCCAAAAAAACAAGTGCACAGGGGTCTCAGCTTGTTGTCACATAGACACTACAGTAAGTTGTGAAATAGAAATGCAGAGTCTCTGACACAACTTGCTTAATAAACAATTTTATCAATAACAAGTATGGGCATTAAACAAAGCATGGTGAGGCAGGCATCTAAATGCTTCTGAGGGATAATCGGGAACATTTTTACTATTCCTTGCTATTACAGCAGGCTAAGGGCAGCTCTGCATTATCCCTCAGTGCTCTGAACAATATTTAACCGTTAACAGCCTAAATCCCGCCGAACGCCTCAAGTTTTCTCGGTGGTTCCAAGCTGGTCACCCCGTTCCCGCCTCACGTAGGACCCCGCCAGCACCGAGCTCCCTTCCTACCCCCGCCTGCTGCCGCCTGCCCAGAGGCTTCAGGCGCGCGTACACCCGGATGCTTTCCTTCACCATCGCTGCTGGGGCCGCCGCGACGCTGCTCGCGTAGCAACAGTAACCATGCAACGCTACCCAGCCTGCCCTGGGAGAGCCGCGGGGCCCCGTGAGCCGGGCGCGAGGGCTGCCGTCATGTCTGAAGGGATAATTTGTAGCATGCAATGAAAACTTTCATTCTTTTAGTATAGCGTAAGGGCACTTGAAGTTTGCAAGTTGCAAAGGTTGCATCGGAGGAACAGAGACTGCAGGTTTGCTGAAGGAGCGTAACTTTGGAAGAGGTAATAGTAGGACCCAGTTGTTCTGTGAAATGGTTACCGAAAAGACGAAACAGAAGTTGATGCCCTTTTGCTCTGCTCTGTAAGGCTCTATTTGGAGTGTTATGTCCAGGCCTGAGGCCCACAGCAAGGCAGGGATGTGGAGTGGGTCCAGAGCAGGGTCATGAGGGTGATTGGAGGGCTGGAGCACCTCTGTTATGAAGAAAGGCTGATGGAGTTGGGCTTGTTCAGTCTAGAGAGAAGAAATCTTCATGGAGACCTCATTAGGGCCTTCCAGTACCTGAAGGGAGCTTATAAACAAGAAAGGGGAATGACTTTTTGCATGGTCTTATAGTGATAGGACGGGGGAGAATGGCTTTAAGCTAAAAGAGGGGAAATTTAGGTTAGATGTTAGGAAGAAATTAATCAGAGGTTGGCGAGGCGCTGGCACTGCTGCCTAGAGAGGTTGTGGGTGCACCATCCCTGGAGGTGCTCAAGGCTGGGTTGGGTGGGGCCCTACCCATGGTAGGGATTGGAGCTAGATGAGCTTTAAGGTTCCCTTCCAACCTGAGCCATTCTATGATTCTCTTTTGGTGAGACAAAGCAGTAAGGATTGCAGTGATTATAAGTGATCATAAGATCAAAATTAAGTGAAAGATCAGGGAGTTAATTTGAGGATTAATTAAGAGAATAGAAATTTCTTTAACCCAGATGTGGGAAAAATATGTTGACTTTCTATTCCAAATTAGAAAAAGCATTGGCGTTAGGGGAAAGGTTTCCTGTCCCATGTGAGCAAACAACTATCTCAGAAAGCATCAGAGGAACAAGTAGTGTGCCTTTAGGGAATGAAACAGGAAAGAACTAATTACCAGCTGAAGTAAAGCACAAAAGTCAAAAGGGTCAAAATGAAAGCAAATGGAAAATATTGCTTGGTGATTAAGAGAGCAGAGAAGAAACAAGATGTCAAAATGGGATAGTGGAACAAGTACTGAGTACCATCTCAATGCTACTCCAAAACTATATATAAAAAAAGTATCCCTTGTCAGTATAGGTTGGGATCCTGCAGATGGTGGTAGTCAGAAGTGATTAATACTGCAGAGTTGCAAGAGGAAACTTACTGCAGCTGAGTGGGAAGCAGAACACTTAGGATCTGATTAATTCAGGCTGAGGAAAAGGGATCTGGGAGGAGAGAGGTGATAATATCAGTCCCATAATTCTGAAAGAATTAATATGTTTACTTGAAAGTCCAGGAGCTGGTTTTGCATTTATGTATTTAATTTAGTATTGAAGTGGACAAGAAAGAGTACAGTGTTCTTGGAAAGTAACAAATGGGATAGTCAACTATGTTAGCAGCTGTAGCAGAAATGCTATGTCATGGCTTGAAACAATGATTGAGCACCTGGTGGGAAGGCAGGGCCAACTCAGGGAAGCTCAGGTGCATGCAATGACTGGAAGGAGTGGATCCAGACTCCACCCCTTCCCAGACATCATTTAAGGATTGGATGCGAAGATAAGGGTGTCTTGCTGGAGATCCTTCCATGGGTAAGGGCTTCTGAGGATAAGCAGCTTCTTTCCTGGATTTTCTGTATCTATGGCTGTCATGTTTGAGTGAACCCTTGTTTGCTGTAGCCTGGGATCATGCTGCTCTGTTTTCGTTGTTGTGTTTTTTATCATGTTACAGTATCATTAGTCTTTATTTACTGTAGTGCGGCTAGTTGCATTTTAGAATCTGCTAGAGTTTGTTTGTTTGCTTGTTTGTTTTTTTTCCTCCTCTCTGACTAAAGAGATATGTAGTAAGCTAGCGAGGAGGAAGAATTTTGAAGCATAGGGTCAAGTAAGTAGCTCTCTGTTGTTGCTGGCTGCTAGTTCATATGGTGATACAGATGAAGATGTGTTTGAGTACAAATTGTAAGTGGTGCTGTGCGTTGTGATGTGGTTTTTTTGCATTTATGTATTTAATTTCTTGTTGAAGTGGACAAGAAAGAGTACAGTGTTCTTGGAAAGTAACAAATGGGATAGTCAACTATGTTAGCAGCTGTAGCAGAAATGCTACGTCATGGCTTGAAACAATGATTGAGCACCTGGTGGGAAGGCAGGACCATCCCAGGAGAGTCCAGGTGCATGCAATGTACCTGAGTGACAAAAAAGGGGGGAGCCAGGATCCTCTCCTTCATAGACCTCACGTAAGGGCTGGCAATGGAGACAAGGGTATCTTGCTGGTGATTTCTGCATTTTTGAGGCCTTTTGAGGGTAAGCAGCTTCTTTCCTTTGTTTCTGTGTATGTTGCTGTTACATTTGAGCAAATCCTCATTTACTGCAGCCTAGGACCTTGCTGCTCTGTTGTTGTTGTGTTTTCCATTGTGTTATAGCAGTTTAGCTGGATTGCAAATTAACTGGACAGTAGACATAGCAATACTGTAGTTAGCTATGTGAAAAGCCAGTTTGTGTCTGTTGATGTTTAGTAGCTGACCGAATCAAGTGAATGAGATTATATTGTTTTGAGGACAAAGTCTGATCTGTAAAGACTTCAGGTGTCCTACAACACAAATCCTGAGCTGTAGACTAGAGGAACCTGTGGTGCTATGCAGAGACGTCCTGACTAGCTCTATGCAAACCAATTTGGGTATTATGTAGTTAAATGGAGAAGTGAATGAGCCTTTTCTAACTCAAGTTCCAGCATAAAAATACAAGCCAAATTTTTGAAAGGGAAGAAGGAATCCTGGGCCACCTGAAAATGGTCACTTGTGTGGCAAGAGAACAAAGATAACAGGATTCACAATTCTCTCTTCAAAATAGGGCCTTCTATTACAAAGCTGCTCGTGTGAAGATGGTAGGATGCCTCTATATATTGTTCTACTCAATATATTGCTTTCAGTAATTGCATGTTGTCTCAGTGGCACCCAGCACAGAATCAACACACTTTAGGTTTACTGGCCTTGCTATGATATGAAAGCTGCCTCATTTATTTGAGCTTCAAAATTATCCAGGCTTTCTTCTTGAATGTGGTATACTGAATGCAGTAAATTGGAGATATGGAGAATGTAAGATAGATGAGAAACTAGTTAAAGGCTGATCTATTATGGTTTGCTAAGAAAAAGAGTATTATTTGACTTAAGAAAATTATTAGTGGTCTTCATTGAGGAGGTGTAATATTTTATGTATTGTCACAAAAAGTAAACATTGATAACACAGGATTGAGAGTCATAAGAGAATTAAGATATCTAGAAAAATGAGTAATCTTGAGGATTAGAGGAACTATTGGGTGAAAAACAAGTTGCAAAGCAAGCATGCATCTGAGGATTAGTGACAACATATTCTGCTGCAAGCTGAAATCCATTCACCTAAAATTGTTAGAAGAAGACTTTGTTATTGTGGAAGTCAAAATGGCAACTGTTAATGAAAAAGGCAGCCATGATTCTTCGATGAAAAATGGATGTCTTATAAAGGAAAGAATGCCTTCTCACAATTGCTTTTTGTGTATTTATAGTTATTTTTATTCCTTCAAGTGTTTGAATACAAGTGTTGTTGTAATGATTGTGCTGATGGAGGCCATTCTGTAAGAGAAGAGACCAAGAGGATGCGCTTTCTTTAGCGAAGAGAAAGCAGACTATATATGTGTGCATGTAAATGCACTATAAAGAACTGCTGTGGAAGCAAAAGAAGCTTCTTAAGGTAGACATGAGAACAAATGTACAAAACTTAAGTTGGAAGAAAATAAATTGTCTTAGGGGTTTGATTGATCCCTTCGGTTACTGAAGAAAGCATGATCAGGTTGTGAGAAAATACTATATGACTCTGTTAACTTATGTTAGCAGGGGTTTCACCCAGAAGGTGAAATCAAAACCTCCGTTCCAGAAGATCTTTTTCAAGATCAGTGAAATGTCTTTCTAGAAGCATACTAGGAATAAGCAGATAAGGACAGTTTGAGTATTTTCTTTTTCCAAGCCGCTTGATGGAGATTAGCCTCCTTAATACATCTTAATCCTGCTAATATCTCCACATGCGGGAGTAATGTATATCTGTCTTCTGTATAAAGTCGCTGCTGGTTGATACTGTGGAGTTTGTTCTAAAAACAAAACGAAACAAAAATAAAGTGTTTTGCTTGTAAGGCAGTTGTAATTTTTATGCTGTAGGGAACCTTCAGTCAACTTCATAACTGAAAAAGCTGCAAGGTTCTTGTTGTTTATAACTAAGTCAGTCAGCAGTTGTATGCATCTACATCCACTGAATGATTATTTATCTTATTGTGCATATTTAGATCTTCATTTCTCCTGTAGGAGATGAATCCTCCAGAAGTTATTGAGTGTTGTTTTTCTCAATCTCTAAGATCTTTGCTTACTTGTCCAACACAGAAAAGGAAATGAATATTGTCCTTATAAGTCTCTTCACCATCATTTCCCTTTTCTTATGGAGATCCTGTGGTAAATTTAAGGCTGAAGTTTGAAACAGTAGCAGCTGCAGCAAAGGAAATTTTATGTTGCTTTAGGAATGGATTTCTAATCTCCAGGTGGAAATCGCTGGAATGATTTGAGACAAATATGAGAAGTATCCTTTTTTTAACCCACAATTGCAGGAATATTCTGTTGAGAATAACTAAAGAACTAAATTGGCTCTTTAAATTTTCCAAATACATGGGGAAGAGCTCATTATTAGAGTTAACAGTGACGAGCTGATTACAAAGATGAGGGAGTCGTAGGACATCTTCCTCTTACTCTGAACCAGAAAGAACTGTTTTTCCATTTCCTACTGCTTTGAAGGAAGTCT